ACGGGTAGGCAGGAGGCAGTAGTCTTCAGGATTCGGCAGCAGCACTCTGGAGGGAGCGCTGCAGGAGTAGTAGTAGCGTTAGCCTTAGATTCGGCAGCGGCACTCTGGAGGGAGCGCTGCAGGAGTAGTAGTAGCGTTAGCCTTAGTCTTCAGCGCTGGGCGCAGTAGGTAGCTGTMGTCTCCAGCGCTGGGCGCCATAGYTRGRATAGYACTAGAGAGAGAGAGAGAYTGGGCGGAGGCCAGAGGTACTTACYTGCAGCGCCGTTGCTCCAGCTTCGTCTTCAAGGTACCTGCAGCACAGCGCCAACTTCACAGGTTAGTACCTGGCTCGTAACAGAGAGAGAGAGTTCTTCTTCTTCTTCATCTCAGTCCACCATCTCCCTCTCACCCTCTCACCCTCTCATCATCTGACTTCACTGCATCAGCAGACTACGAGAGAAGAGAAAGAGAGCTTGGTGACATTGGATCCAGACTCGACTTTTGGGCTTCAGACATTGCAACGAGGGATTATTTGGGACTTGTGACAAAAACTTGGTGTTGACGACATTCCCATCTCTCCCTCTCCTCTTCATCTGATCCCCTCCTCTTCATCTGTGTATGTCTGGACCTGGCGCTTCCTTCCTGTGTACAGCGCCAGGCTCCTTCACACCGTGTGATGAGCATGATGTATGTTTGGTCTACGTTGAAACATTGATTGGGCTAGTCATCAGTATTCTAGCATTCTGCTTCGCTATCTTGTACTACGTGATAAAGGTCAGTCCTCGTCAGGTCAGGTCTTGTATCTAAATCTTCCACTGCGCTACTCAACACCATTTTGTATGTATCGGAATGCACATTGCTAGTTGAGATTCCACTTGCACAGCATTGTCCATTCAGTCCTTTTTATCACATTGCGGATCCTCGGTTATTACATACATCGCCCATCTGGGCATGTAACACATGTGTATGCATGTTGGTTTGCATGTCCTAATTTTGTCGTCTCTTTTACAAAGGGTCCCTACAGCGAATCAGCAAGGGCCCATCCCGAAAGCAGAGATAGGTCTTAGGCATCAAGTTCTGCATGAGTGGGCCGACAATATATAGGCTGGATTCGAAGTCAGGTCTGTGTATCAGCAGTTATGGGTCACTAACTCAGCCAGGCCCTGTTGCTCTCTGCACGTGATTTGTTTTCCTTTTCTTAGGAATACGTGCAGTGGCCCTAAGGGCCTCTACTCACCATATGCACAAAAGAGACAAAACATACGGCGGTGTATGGTTCCATGTTCTAGCAGAAAATTTATTCTAATTTTGCACATTTGGTGAGTAATGCAGCCAAGCCCTGAGAATCATGTGTAGAGACCAACAGGGCCTAGCTAAGTGAGCAACCAATAACTGCTGAAACACAGACCTCAATTCGAATCCAGAGTATATATTCGGCCAGCTCCTGCTCCATTTCATACTCACCACTGCCTCAATTTGGTGGAGGGTCTACGCTAATTTGCAGCGAAGACCCTTCAGATTACCTGCAGGGGCACTCTGATGTGTGTGAAAGGGGTCCTGCTCTCTCTCTCTCTCTCTCTCTCTCTCTCTCTCTCTCTCTCTCTCTCTCTCTCTCT